AAGGCGAGCAGGGGGGGGAAGGAGCTTGAAAGATTGAGTCGCGGCCCTGTATGATGCACACGCAGGTGAGCGGGGACTCCGCGCCTGCAGTTTGTTCCTTGCGCACTGATACAGCTGCAAAAACTAGATCACACATTGTCTATCCACGTCATTTCACGATGACTTATCAACTATCAACCTGACGAATCCCTGCTAGTTTGACCCACCTCATCACACCACCTTCTTCTCTGTTGGCGGGCGCTCGGCCAGCTGGCTCGTCAACTTCTACACATTCCATGCAGGCTCCTTTGGTGAGACCCAATGTTCGGTTTGCCTGGTAGTCCTGCAGTTATAATAAGCACCCTTATTGTTCCGAGTTTACCCTCGGATCACTATATCAGCTGCCATATCGATTTTTTGAAAAAGTTACAGCGCTTTGGCAGGTTTTTTAGGTTGAGAGAGTGGTTAAAATAATTCATCGACGCCAAAGGATCACACAAGGAGGTGCTTTCGGCCTCCAGATCCATGGCTCATGGGGTTTTTCTCGACTAAGCCCTTGGCGGCACCAGCCTGTCTCACCCTCTCTACTTGGCATCAGCTGCCACGCTCTTGTCGCAAAGCTAGCTCCAGGAAAAGGTGAGCTGTAACCACGGTTGCATTTCGCGACTTGATCTGTGCTTGCTTTTATCACCTCCGTCCTCTTCGCTCTTGCTAGCACTCTCACTGATCTATCCTCAAGCCTAATTGTGTCTGCATAGTCTCCTCTGTGGCTTTGTATCCGTCCCTTATCGGCCCTGTCCAATTTATCTCCACATTTCTTCAGTGTACGTTGTCTGCTGAACAAATCCCTCTGTCTCTATCGAGCCATTTGGAATGATCCCACTGAGAAAAAGAATACACAGAGGAGGGGAAAAGAGGGAGAAGTGAGATGGGCTTCTGCACTCACAGACTGGGAGTTTGGCCTCTCTGATACTTGAACAACCCCCCCTGCAGTGTTAAAAATAACCAGCTCTTCATCTGACTGACCAGACAGACTGGGGCTTTGAGGGAGTATTATCTCTCTGGAGTTTGTTCAACAACCAGGCAGACAGAAAGCACACACTACATATACACACACATGCACACCGACAGATAAAGGAAGACCAAGCAGCACAGATACAAAAGGAAAACATTGCCATGCAGATATGACATGAAGGGGACAGAGCTGAGACAATTGTTTTGTCCAACCACTGGACCTCAAACTTGTTGTTTTGCTTTGACAACATTTTCTCACCATATCACCAGGAAAGCAAAGTGACAAATCTGACACCTGATCATACACCATGGCTGCTCGGGTAAAAGCCAGAAACAAGTGGTTATGGGTAGATTTGTGACTCACCTGTGAACAAAAATGTTTCCTGGTAATTATGATTTTGATAACAGAATTTGTTGTGTTTTTGACATATGTTTTAAATGTTAGCATTTTTCCTTTACAAAGTGAAACATAAACAAATGGAAGGTTATGTTGAATATTTTCTATACATATTAATGTATAGAGAACATCACACCAAAAACTACTAAGAATAATGCAGAAAAATTAATATATGAACTATCTTTTACATGTTCATTCATGAAGTCCCCATTCAGTCAGGCTTGTCTTCCATTCGTTATTTATATTTTCTAGTTTAGCATCTCAGTATATGAGGTCAGTGTGGCTGAGAAAAATTGTGAATATCTTAATATCATTTTAAATTTTGTGCAGGTGATATGTGGGTTATTATCAGGCGTGTAGTGCAGGGTATACACAGGTTTACAGAGTAAACCTACTTATTTTTCAGTCAGCATTGGTATAGCCACTTCTAAATCCCCTCTGATGATCTGCACGTCTTCTGTGCCTAATGTTATTTTCATAATGATCCTTACTCCCCGAAGTCAAGCAGCACAAGTTAAGTGACAATGTGCAAATACTACTGGGTCATTTGTATGTGAACTAAATATGCAAGAGTAGTCGTAGTAGAGTAGTAGAGTTACATGTCACTGTTAATAACACAGGGTGTCCCTATGCTCTGCTGTACGGGCCACTTTAACAATAAAAAGGCATAAATTAAGAGTACCCACTTCTCCAGGCACCACTGCACCACTGGTTATTATAGTCCTGTAAAATAATTAATCCTCTTCCTTCCCCTGACATTAGTAACTGTTGATTATACTTCAGTTTTATCATGAAATATTGGTCCTAACTTTTTTGTTGTATGATTTCAAGATGGTGCCAATGCAAATGAAAACATGATTGCAAAACCGATTACACAATAAATCTCCCAAGTTAAGCTGCACTACTGTAAACTGCATGGATCACTGTTTGTCTATTATCTGATGACCTCTACTGGTCAATGAGAGAATTGCAAACATCAATGGTACAAAATAGCATGTACAACACCAGCGGTTGAAAAATACAATCCTTTATTCAACATACACAATATTATACGTCTGTTTGTGAATTTCTTTACTGACCATAGTAATGGTGATGGTACATTTTAGGCCTACAGAAATGTAAAAAAATAATTTGAAGGTTGTGTTGTACAAAAAATTATATAAAATGTGTCTCATTGTTAAGTAATAGAAAATAATACCCCATTGGAAATATATTTACAATAAACCCAATGGTGATACAAGACAACAGCTTCCCTGCTGTTAGAATATGTACAACTAAAAAGCTCAATGTGTCTGTGTGCATAAAATAAATGCTCATTCTACATAAGTTAAATATGCTTTCACAAAAAGTAATGTGCTTTGGTATGAGCATGTTACTACTTACATATTTCCTGTATTCATTTGTGTTCTCTGTAACTTTCTGTGACTTTGGTCATCATGGGAAAACCCCGTAAGTGCAATTGTACTGTAAATCGGAGAAAAACCAGGATGATGTTCTCCTTCTCTCGATAAGAGGATGAGTAATTGTGCTGTGCTAGATTTTCCTTTTGGTCATGATGATGGGAGTTTTAGACAATAATGATTAAAAGCCTGTATGTGTAAAATAGCCTGTGAATTGTTCGGTTAATTATAACATAACAAAAAGAAAAAGCTTGATTAACAGTTTTGGTCTTAATAGTTTTCTTGTTGGGGCCTCTTGGTTTGAGGTACCAGACATATGGCAGATGAAAATTAGACTATGCATAAAAAATAGCCTTGGGTGCGAGCAAGTCTAGACACTACTGCTCAAAGTCATATGGTTTTAATATAATGCAGTGACTGTGTGAGTCATTAGCTCAAAATATGCTAATGATATGCACCTTGTGCTGTTGGAATGTGGTGCAAAATCCCTTCCGGCGTTTTCAATCTTTATCATAATCACTGTTCTATCCTAGTGCTTCGGTCTAGACGTCCCGCTTGAGTTTCTCGATGCTGAAGTCACTGTCGTGGTCCAGTTTGGAAAGCGTCTTCCTCACTCGGAGAGCTGTGAGGCGGGCTTGTGGGCTCTGGTACCAACACTCCTTCATGATCTTCACAATGGCCGACAAGATCTACGACACAAGAGACAAATATAAAATTCCACCTGGCCATCACAGTAGAATGTAACATGTGTACCATATGTGTCATCAGATGGCCTACAGGGTGGGAATGAAGCCTGTTATGGAGACTGGGCCTCTGCTGGTCCACACACACCACCTTCTTCATCTCCTCAAAGCTGGGATCTAAGGGAACCAGGTCAAAGAAGGGAGGACGGTACTCCTCCACGATCCCTAAAACAATCCAACAGAGAAAAAAAGACTCAGTGTACAGTGTGTTTAATCTCCAGTTTAATCAAAGAACAACAAAACTATCAAAACAACATTCTTGGTCATCATCGACCTTTAAACCCCTAATTTCTCTCCTCATACATTTTCAGAAAATGATGTCTGTCATGCAATGTCTGAAATAGCACACTTGGAAATTAAATAGTCTGTAGTGGGAGTTTTGTAAAGTATGTTTGACTAAACAAGAGAGCAGGGAAAGATATCAGTTCCCTGGAGACTGCACTGGGATGGAAATCTGCAAGGCCCGCTGAGTGTGTGTGGTTGTTTGTGTGAGAACGCACAAAGTTATGAAAGTCTATCCATCTGGACAAAGTGTGTTTGTGCATTTGTGTGTGCGTGGTCGTTTGTGCATGGATGTGTGCATGCATCTACAAACTGTGTGCACGGGCATCTGGACCATGTACAAGTGAGTGCTGACACAAGATAAGACTGTTTATAATTACTGCAGTGCTAATCATGAGAGAGGATAGCAGAGACAGACACAGACTATGAAAACACTGGAGTGCTGAGAGACATGGGACTAACTGCCTCTTATGCATACTCTACCAGAGCCAGACAGACATGACAAAGAAAACACATCAACATAGTGTGCCTAAGTGGATGAGTAATATGTCAACTTATAAAAGATCCATTGATATATATACATACACTCTCTGCCATTTTCATCCTAATTTTTAAATATAAGGTAAAATAAGGTAAAAAAATAATTATATATTGCAAATTACTGTAAAGGCACAACATTCTTATAGGCTTTTGTCTCCTTACCATTGACTATGGTTCTGCGGGTAATTTCCCAGAAGACCAGGCCCAGTGCCCAGATGTCAGTTTGCTTGTAGGACTCAAAGATGTCCATACGAATAGTCTCATCCAGCACCTCAGGGGCCATGTAGCGCTTGGTCCCCACACGGGGGTTGTTGCCCACATCGAGGTAGTCATGGGACTGAGAGTGTATCACAGCCAAACCTGAGGAGAAAGCAGGCATGAAGCTCAAATACAAACTATCAAAATCAGCATGATGTAGCTGTTTTGTCTCATTACATAAACTGTAACTAACAGCAGAAGTTGAAAACAGATACAACCATTTATTGTAGTTTCACTGTTCTTCCTTCTACACAACCCTCACCTAGGTCAGCAATGCAGCACTGTCCGTTCCGCTTTACTAGGATGTTTCGGCTTTTCAGGTCTCGATGGGCGATAGCTGGCTTCTCCTGGGAACTTACAATCTCAGTGTGGAGGTGGACAAGGCCACAGGCCACAGACAGGCACATCCTCAGGCAGCTCTCAGGCTCCAAGCTGCTGTACTGCAAGAAGTCGTAGAGCGAACCCAGCTCATGAAAGTGGGTGACGAGCCACAGCTGGGTGCTAGAATTCTTGGATGTCATGTCAGAGGCTATGAAACCTAAAGAATAGAGAATAGAATAGGAGATTGATATTTCAATATCGGACTTTTGGCTGATGCTTTTTGAAATTACTCTGTACGTTTCTCTATAAGGTAATTAAATAACTCTATAATTTCTTTGAAATTGAAATCTGCTGCCATACCCAGTATGTTGTCATGTCGCAGCTGTACAGTATTGTAGATCTCTGTCTCTCTAAACCAGGACTGCTCGTCCCTGGAGGAGAAGATCTTGACAGCAACACTCTCCCCCATCCAAGTTCCCCTCCACACTTCCCCATACCTGCCTTTACCTGGAGACAGAGTGACACAATTACACAACTGAAAAGTACAAAACAGGGCAAAGAAGAGCAGCAGTGGTGAGGAGGGAGACTGACCGACACACTCGACAAGTGAGATTTGTCTGGCCATAGTCCTTTGGACCAGATAGGGCAGCCCTGTCCCACTCCCTGATGTACAAAACTCATCAAAGATATCCTGGAGAAAGACACAGACACACAGAAATAATCCATACGTGAGAACCCAAAAACTTAAACATGATAATATATTGTGTCAAACATCAATATCAAATATCTTTTACGCCGTATGTGGGGTCTTCTCCATTAGGGACCTTGAGCATGGTGACATCATTGTCTTCACGATCTTTCAGTCTGCAGTGTGCTCGTCGGAAGCGCAGGAACAGCACCAGGCCACACACGCTGGCAATCAGCATTAACAGCAGCAAAGACACCGTGATCCACAGCTCTGGACGATTGGGTTCTGGAGACTTTGTTGTCACCGCATCTAGACACACATTCGCACAAACACACACATTTTTGAGTTTGTGAAATCAGTCAAGAATAGTTCAGCGTATTGAGGTGGAGAGGTTTTCGCCCAGAATTGTTTTTAATTAAAGGTAAATATACTAGTAACATGACATTCATTGCATCATCAGTCCAAAAGGCAAAAAGGCAATTTTGATTTGCTCTAACTGACCACAAGGGGGAACCAGTTACTATCAAGAGAAAAGTAATTCAGGATGTGCACTGGATTGTGGGATGAGCCTGAGAGGACTAAAAGACAGCAAACTCTGAGGCTCAGTTCCACAGTGGTTCTTCAAGATTGATAGATATGATGTTAAAATATTTCAAAGCAATGGTTTTGGGTACTGACTAATGTCTGGAGGTGGTGTGGTGAAGGCGTTGCACTGATTCTTTCTGCAGCAGTGGACAAAGAAACGGTCAAAGGAAGTGTAGCACTGCTCTCTGTAGACACGATTGGGGAAACATCCCCTCTCTTCACGGCCGCGAACCCAGGTGTAGAAGCAGACGTCTCCTCTGCAAGTCCCATTCATGCAAGTGCCTTTCTCGTTCTCACATGTGCACAGCAGCTTCCCATCGTCTTCGGAGTCTGAAGCGCAAGAAATTACACAAAGTGAGGACAGAAAGGCAAGCACACACAAAACTAACTGCATACATGCACGTGCACATATAATTGCATATACCTATCAGTCAATAATAATTTGAGAAACCTACCAAAGTAGATTGATCTTGGGAATGTAAAAGAAAAGCAAGCCAACACTCCAAATCACAATACAAAGACTAGTAAAGTGAGTTTTGACTAATAATAGAGGTCAGATACCTCGTGTGTGTTTAGAAAGTAATGGACAGGTTAGTTGGTAAAACCTGTACTCATTGGTTGCACACAGCAGCATATAAGTTAGTGTCTACACATGGTGCATGTGCATGGAAAGGCACAAAGACCTACAGCAACTCGTTTACTTTGACTCTGCATTTCATGCCAGGTAGGTGGTGTACACTCTGCTTGTCTGAGCTTGTTGCAAACAGCTGCCTATTGTTTTACAATGGAGGGTTAGTGAGAACCGTGAGACTGAACGATACTGTCTATGTGCGAGCTGGAGAACCAAAACAAAGACCTGAAAGCTGCTAGTGAGCCCCTCTTATTAAAGCTTTAACAGAATGGAACAAAGCCAATGCTCTTTACAACACATTTTCTATATCTCACCATTAACTCACCTGCATGGATAACAGAGATCCACAGCAGCGCCCCAACTAGCACCACTGTGAGCAGAGCAGAGCTTCCCATCTCTGGGAAACAGGAAGAAAACAATTAATAACAGTTAATCTAATCGAATGACGATAATACAGTTAGTGTGGTCTCTTTATTAGGAACTGTCATAATGAGAAACCAGACATTCAATTTGGGGCGTTATGGAAAAATAAGGCAATTTTTCTTCATTTTAACTGCAATGTGATTTAAATGTACAGACTGTAACTTAATAGTGGTGTCTATGAAGAGCTGAGCAGCGGTTAAAGCCCCGACTGTTTGGCAGAGGAAGCTATGAGGTCAAAAACAACAGTCCGAGGGCCCAGCCTGTCTGCCTGTGTTGTAATTGCATTGGGTGGGAAAAGGGGGCTTAGGGGAAGGAGCCTGTAACAGCACTCCAGAGTGTTTTGTGTATGTGTGCTGAGACTGTGTGTGGTGCTGTGCTACCCAGGCTCCAGGCCTGTCGACTCCTCGACTACCCTGCTTGCAGAGTAAATATTGATGGCTACGCTTCCTGCCATTGAGTGGCCCCACCCGGCTGGCCGGCGAGACTCAGGTCTGCTCATTGTTTAGGGCTGCATTGCTGAGGGTCACGCAAGCAGGAGGGCCCTCATAGACCACTCAGCCTTTCTCACTGCTGTAGCAAACAGTGGTCTGTAACTTGACATCCAGGTGAGATATTACATGTTATATTTAATTTAAAATACTGGTAAAAAGTGACTAAATGCACTTTAATTTTTTTCAGTAAAGAACAAAATGAGTGCCATATTTTTAAAAGCATAAAACACTGTATAAATATCTACTGTAAAAGATCCTACATTGTTTATTTCATTGCTACATACACTGTGCCAATGTCTAAACAGATGCACGTGTTTGGCTTTAATACAAGCTTTGTCTTGAGTTTTTTACATTCTGTGCATAATGTAGACTCTATTCTTTGTAAGGCTGTCTAGAAAAGCAAACACGCACAAAATAGCACAAGCACCCGAATAAACCCTGAGGTATTTTAATGTCTTTCTTCACCATTGTTTAGCAGCAGTATTCCTATCACCTAATAAGCATGTCTTGGAAATGCTGTTGTTTGAGAGTTGTTGAGTTAGGAGCAGTTTATCTGGCTAATGTGGTTAGGTATTGTTTGCTTTTGTCAAGACTAGATTTACTGGGGCCTGCTGGCAGCTTCTTTTAAGTGCAGGGAGAGAATGATGCTTGCAATCTGTTTTATGTGCAACACTTGAGGTCTGTCCTGTAAATCTCAAATATGTGTACTTGGATGGACCGAGATAGGCGTTGTTGCTGTCGACAAGTGTGCACTCATATACACGAGACAGTTGCTAGGCAAGGTGGGCAAAAATCCGCCATCACTCTAGGAAAACCTGTATTCTTTAGGATTGTAGTGTGTTAGTTATTGGATCAGCTATACGTAATGCCAATATAACTGTATTACTCTGGCAAAATAGAAAGGTTTAATGAATCATTTTGGCTTCAGCAATATAAAATTATATAAAGATTACATTTATCCTGGCTCACATTACTGCACTTTTGATATACACTTTACACTACCAAATAAAAACCTTATTTACAAATCTGATGAAATGAACAAGTACTGAGTTGTAAACCAAACTGCATCACTGTTGGTCCAATGATTTATAGCTATAATATGCTTCAGGAAAAAAAACACAAATTACATAACTAATAGCATCAAAAAAATAGCGTAGAAGACTCCGACAGAGCACAGACTCAGGTAGAGTCCTATCCATATATAAATTAAAACTGAAGTATGCTTTCTAAAATGGGCATATTTCTGCAAGTTAACACCACAGCATGATTTATCATCATATTCTGATATAAATTGTTATCCTACCTCAAGTCTCTCACAGCAAATAACCCTTGAACCTCACACATCTGGCAGTGAAACATGCACATGTCAGCACAAAGCTACGGATATCCTCATTTAGTTCATCTAGCTAGATATATCTTAGTACAAACTACAGGAAACCCTCACATTACCATAGTCATTTCAATAAGTCGTGTCAAATGTCAAAGAAGAGAAACCAGAGAAGCCAAGGTGTTCAGGATGAATATCTGCATCTGATTGGCCACTTTTGGTCTCTGCTTTTCTTTATTTTCAAATCCTGTTTTACTTGTTTACTTTAAAATGTATCTATTCTAAGAAGACACATAGCTGTCTTGAAAATGAGAGCATGTTCTGAACGGAGTTTCCCATGTTTGTCGAGCTGACTGCACTCTGAACTCGCTAAAAAAACCGCAAGCCATATTTTACCAATAAACAAAAGTGCACTTCCTGTTTCGTGCAGCCTACATGTCAGTGGTCGTTAATATGTGGGTGCAGTGGAGGAATAACCTAAACCCTCCACCCACAGAGGGAACTTGCGAATCACTTATTTGTCTAGCTATCATTTTATCATCCACAGAGTCCCGACATAGCGGAGAGCAGTAATTAGATCCTGTTTGCCTCCATTCTGTCCAACGCTACACCCGTGTGACCCAAGGGGAACAGCTCCATTGTCATCTCTTCCTCTCATCTACAGCTTTGACTTGGGGAGGCAGATCTCTCATTCCATCTGGATGACTGTGTGGTTATAGTGGTGGATGGTGGGGGCATGGCATAGCACAGCAGCCTCCCACAGGCCCTCCACTGGGGCCTCATCACACCGAAAAGCCCTATAACTTTTCCTGTGGAAAGTAACTTTAAGGAGTGTTACTGTAAAAGCTTCTATCATGTGGTTTAAATGTCAGGACAACATCACAATTAGTTCTTTTTTTTTAATGACATAGCCACATATTTAAAACGCCTGTGTTCTTTGTGTGTTTTAAGTGGTAAAAACCTTTAAATCTGTAATCCAGTGATTGTGACCATCTGCTAGTTACAGCGACAGACTGATTGTATCTTCATTTCACAGACAAAGCTAGGCTTGGCAGGCTTTATGGCTCAGTTGCTTGTCTGCATGCTCTCACATGCATTCCTTATGAATGCATGTCAGGCGAAGAAAAGGACAAATATACCTCAGACACACACACAATTTAGTCTTTACTTCCAAAGAAGAGGAAGAAGAATTAAATAAACAAAAGTGATACACACACAGAGGTTTGAGTATGACCCACACCTGATGGACCAACAACAGCACTGATCTGGAGAGAGCTTATGTGACTTCCACCCCCACCTATGCCCAAATAGGAAAATGTCTGCCCTATAGGTGGGTTTGTGTGTGTGTGTGTGTAGGATGGATGAAGGAGGGGGACAAGTGAAAAATTGCAGGGAGGACAAAAAGCCAAGTTTTGCATTCAAAAGATACAGACAAACATCTCCAGCAAATATGCCAATTCTGCACATTTAAAGAGGATGAACCTTTCACTACATGTTTTGAAAGAAGGATCTTGCCACATAGTACAGGCCAGAAGCAAATATTCGGACCTATTACTTAAGTAAAATACAACAAAGTAAGTTTAAGAAAATACTGATACGCTTTGAGTGTCGTGATATTTTGTTTT